CTCTACAGTTAATAAAGTTACTATTTTACACTTTCAACCTTCTTCTTGTCTTCATCATAGGATTGATCGTGATAACCAACTACACAAGTGAATCGTATTAAGTGAATCGTGATAATAAATTGTTTTTGTTTATTAAACGTTAATTTCTCTTAGGAAAGGCCTTTGAGACAATTGTGATATTAAGTTTATTAGTTTTGTTAGCTTGGTTTAGAGACGATTCCAGGTCTAACACCGTCCCCATCCCAATTAAAAAATAATGATAATAATGATTAATTTCCAAAGTATAATTTTAGATTCTTTGAGAATTTTTTCCGACCTAATTGTTTGCTTTGTTAATAAGATAGTAGACTATAAATTTAATCAAATAAAGTTCATATATCACATCACATAAGATTATGAATAAAAATTTCATTTGGTTGGATGGTCCCGTAATTCTGGAATATTGGAAATAACAAACGATATATGCATTTAAAAAATTTGCTGAATACTACGAATGAAATGAGTGTTATTATATATAAAAAAACATTTAATTATGTAACTTGGATATATTATTTTCTTTCTAGATTTAAATAAATGGATTTTCATCCAAATATAATTACATTTTATGGAGTAACGAAGTTTAATCATTAAATATGGCTTGGGAGATATTTTTTTAAGCTATGACAAGTTGTTCATCAAGAAATAACAGATGTTGCGTTATTTTCTTTATGATTCAAACTAATTATTTATATAACCCGTTCAAAATTAAGGTTTAGGGTAATGAAAAGGAAATTTTCAGAAGTGGTAGACCGCCTGATAAATTGATTTTATTAAATAACGAGAATGGATTTAATGTCGCGAAAGCAATTTCAAAATAGAATTGAAACAGCAGCATAGTTCCTCTAATTAATGTCTTGAGTAATTATTTTCTCAACCAAATGAAATGATAAAATTAAATTGATCTATTAAGTATTCTTCTAAATTTTTCAGAATAAACGTAAGGGAAATTTACCGAAGCCATTCTTTTATCTTCATATAAATCTAATAAACTATATAAACTAAGATTATATTCCGTTAGGTTCTTGCAATATTTAGTTTGAAGGCTATTTGTTTCTAAACATTCGGATTCGTTTGATGAAGCTTCATCATTTGAGCCATCATCCGAATTATCATTCGGGTCGTCATCATGGATTTCGTCGCCATCTTGTGTGATATCTAGTGTACTTGAAGGGGGCTTGTGTATGAAATAAAAGAACGGAATTAAGTCATTGTATGAAGAATTCATATTATCATTTAACACATTTATACGTGGTATATATAGTCAGTTACAACTTTTAAAGTTTCCACCTTCGCTAACACGTGGTTGTACAATTTTGTATAAATAATCCTTTGCACCTTTGCTTTACCACATTTGTTTTTAGGTGTTTTGTAAAACCTTGAATGTGCATTATCAATCCTGAAAGTTTTTTTTTTAATATTGATCTTGGAGGTTTTGTAGAATTCCTTTTCGGAAAATTATCGATATTCCTAGATGGAATTCTTTAAAATTTACCATCATCTCTATCCCCATTCGCAAAATCCAAAAAAATAATATTCAGTCCTGCGCTACAAAGCGATCGAACCATTTAAAAAGAAAGGTTGCTGTGCTGCGATCCAGCCCTAAAGAAATCGTAAAAAGATAAAATAATATGAAATGAAAAAAGAACAAAAGAAGAGTAATAATAATAAAATCAAAAGGTCTTACCGCAGTAGATCGAACCAACCCTGAAAAAAATCGAAAATTATATAAAAACAAAATTCAAATTCCAAAAATAAATAAATAAATTAAACAACTTACCCGCACTAACGATCAAATCCTAACAAGAAAAACTTAAGAACAAGGTTCACCTGATCTAAGAATATATATATATATATTATTATTCTACAGCTAACTAGATTTAGGTTAGAAGAAAATTTCGAAATTTTCGAAACAAAAATTATTCAAAAAATTTTACAGATGAGCGAGTTGTTTTAAATTTGAAAATGGAGAATTAAAATGTCGAAAAAAAAAAGCCGAATTTATTAAAGGATTAATAAATATCAATACAATCTTCCTTATCTTGAATAGTAGGCAAGACTATAAATAAAGCTATAGTATTAGAAAAGGTTTACTAAATAGAAATTATCTGCTTCTTCAATAGTATTTTATTTCTACGTAATGCATTTCGATGATTTTCAGATTTGCAAAAACTATTTATTTAAATAAAAAAAAAATTTTTTTTAATTGAATTAACAGACCGTAAATACTGGGTTGGGTTCGTGTTGTCATTAATAAGTCCGGGACTTCAAAATTTTGGGCCACTAGAACGAAGATTCTTACGTGATTTTCGGAAAGAGCAGTAATACCTGGCCTAGTTATTTGAGCATTTAAATATTTCTCTAATCTTTATCATCATTCGTCATTTGGACTAATAATTAACACATGACTAGAACTTGAGAAATAAAATAAGCTTAATGTAAGTCAAAATATTAATTGTCATTTCAAGTCCTTTTCTAAGCACTAGTGCCGATCGAAAACTTTACATTGAAGAACGATACTTCAAGCGGCTTCTGCAAAGCTTCTGAAATACAGTACATTGCTAATCAAAATAAACGATAGAATTATTGCACAAGTTCCTTCTAAACTTTTAATTCCTTAACAATACAATTATATTTATTTTTAAGCCTGAAATCGTCTCAAAACCAAGCCAACAAACTAAATGAACTTAATATCACAATTATCTCAATGGCCTTTCCTAAGAGAAATAAACTATTAACAATCAAAACAATTTATTACCACGATTCACTTGTGTAGTTGATTATCACAATCAATCCTATGGTGAAGACAAGAAGAAGGTTGAAAGTGTAAAATAGTAATTTTATTAACTTGAAGAGCTTATAAGTCTTGTCCCAAGACTTATCTCAATCTCCGAGAAAAACTCTGTCGACTCGATGTCAACTTACAGGTCTATTTTATATAAAATTGTGAACTAGTATTATACTACGCATAATACATTATTTAATAATTAATAACATAAATCAATTATATTGCAATCTTATTGACCACTAATTCATCCTTCTATGCAGCATTAATATTGGTCAATTCAATGCCACTTTAATGATTAATTTATCGGGTTTGATTATCGGGTCTATGTGCAAAGCAAGAATATGCATAATAAGTTATTTTCATTGAACCTGTCGCTTAATAAATACATTACCGAAAAAAAGAAATTTAATACAAAATTTTATACTAATATTTTATTTCACATATAAATAAAATGTTCATTCATTACTGTACAAAATACCAGAAGAATTATACAATAAACTTGAATATACTTGGACAAGCATAAATGCAACTGAAAGATAAATAGGTTTAAAATTATAAGTGCACACATTTCATTCAAAAGAAACATAAACATTAAATGAAATACTTACTACTTAAACTAGAATATGAATCTGATAAAACATCATGTAATTCATTAGTTTGCATCTCATTAAACGAATCATTGTTATTTCCTGTAAGTTTTATTTTATTATACAATAAATCAGTATAAAACTCAATTATATAATAAATTATATGCATTTGATATACAAACCTTCAATTGAGGTATTATTAACATTACTCCGGCTTTCTTAAGGTCTAAGTCCTCATGATTTAAATTAAACTCATCGATACCAAAACCCATCTTTTTAAATTCTTCCAATACGTTTTGAATTTTTGGTCTGTTTTTTGGTGTCGAATCCCAACATTTTTTATAAAGCTCTTCATAACTTATAGGCGTTCCTACTATAGTATCTTCACGAGCTCCAGCAATAATATTAATGCGAAGTAAACATTCATCACCCTTGTTCATTAAACTTTCAAATGGAAGAACTCCGCTAGAAATCTCCCACATTAATACTCCATAACTATAAATGTCTGATTCTTTAATATATTGAAATTTAAACTCTGAAAGTTTTTTGGGATCTATATATGGAATCCTGCCAAAAGTTCCGATATGAATACTAGAATTTTGAGCATTCATCTTTTTTGAAATACCGAAATCCGTGATTTTAGCATTACCATCATGAATAACTATATTCTTAGAATGCTAAATGTAAATAGATATTTCAAATAAATATCTAATGAATTTAATTATAACAATTACATAAGTAAAAAACTAATACTTACAAGGTCTCTATGCAAAATATACTCATTATATAAATAGTTCAATCCTTCAGCGATTTGAAACGCTAATTTTTCTTATCATCCCAAGTTAAATATTTAAAGTTCTTTTCAAGATAATTTTGAAGATCGCCATCATTGGCATATTGCATTATAAGAAGAAAGTCTTTTGTATTATGATCTATAAAAATGTAATTTTTATATATTAAAATTAAAGATAAATATTGTTTAAAATAAAATTTAAATTATAAATACCTTGACTAATACCTAAGCAACGAATAATCCGATCACTAGAATCAAGTTGTAAATGAATTTGTAATTCATGAATAAATGCATTTAATATGCTACCTTTAACAGATTTCATATTAGTTAATCTTTTATAAACAATACAACTTCTTGTTTTAATCCAAGTAGCTTTCTTAATACATCCAAACCCTCCGCTGCCAAGCTCCTCAGAATTTATCAAATCGTTGAATGATATAAATTTGACTTTTTCATTTTTTAAGGCATTTTCTATCCATTCAATTGCGTTATCTTTTTGATTATCTTTTTGAAAATTATCGAATTCTATATTACTTTTAGATGATAATTGATTAAGAGATGAAGTAATTTGCAATATATTTGGATGTTCATCTGGTTCATATTTCCAACATTCTAAATTAAATAGATAAATTAATAGCAGTTTTGTCAAATAAGATTAATATTATTTACCTGTATATAATTTACTATAATCAATAGGGGTATTAGGAACAATTTCTTCTTTTCTTTCTTGCATAATATTTTTTTCATTTTCGTCAAAATATGGTTGATATCCACTTGAAATTTGCCACATTAATACGCCAATACTATAAATATCAGACTTTTTATTTAATTTATAATCCTGGTTTTCTAAACTCTTTGGATCTATATAAGCTTTAAATACTTTTAAGTTTTTATCTATATTTTTTGATAAACCAAGATTTTTTAATTTAATATTTTTCTGATGTATAAATATATTTGTCGCATTCTATAATTTTATATATTGATATAAAACAAATTGTTAGTAATTAATAATCAGATTAAAATAATTTATAAAAAATTGATAAATTACCAGATTACTATGAACAATATCATTTTCATGTAAATAAGATACAGCACTTGCAAGTTGTACTGCAATTATATTTTTATCATTCCAAGTAAGTTTATTAAAATATTTATTTAAATAAGAATTTAATGTATTGCTATCAGCATATTCTAAAACTAAAATACATTTATGTATTTCTTTAAAAAATTATATTATAATTTAGAAATTTGTTATATTTATAATATAATCTTTTAAACACAGTATTTAATATTTTATTACTTACTGATTTTTATATTTATAATTCCATAAATTGTATAATATTTGGATGATACTTAATTATTCGCTGTAATTTTAACTATTTAATAAAATATACAGTAAATATTCTATTAAATTAAAATGAAAATTTAATTAATAAATTAAATAACTAATACCTCATTTTTAATTTCTTCAATAATTCTAGTATTATAACAATTAAATGATTTCATAATAATAAAATTATTTGCATATTTCCAATTAGCACAATAAACAGTTGTAAATATACCACCAATTTTTTGTATATTTTTGAATTCTGAATATTCATAATTACGAAAAATATTATCTTGATCTATAATTTCATATAAATTTTTTTGATCTAATATTTTATTTATTTGTATTTGATCTAATTCATTTATTTTATTTATTTGTTCTTTTTCTAATTGATTTATTCCATCTATTTGTTTTTAATCTAATTTATTTATTTTATTTATCTGTTCTTGTTCTAATTTATCTATTTCATTTATTTGTTTTTGATCTAATTCATTATTATTTATATTTAAAGCTTTTATTGATGCTGATATTTCAGTATTAATTAAATCATGATTTAAAATTTCATTTAATCTTTCAGTAAAATTAAATAAACGACTTATATAAAATACTTGTAAATGATCTTTTATATTATTTAAATTATTAACTTGATTTTGTTTTAATACTTTATCTGCTTTATAAAAATCAATAATATCATTTTTTAATTCATTATTAAAATCTATGATTATAAAATTATCATACTAATTTTTAATTATCTTTTAAATTTCTGATGCTGTTGGTCTTTTTAATATGTTTTTATCCTAACATTTTTTTCATTAAATTTATATAACATTGTGGAACATTTTTCAATATCTTTAGGACGTTTACCTTTACAAATATCTAACTGAAATTGAAAATTATGAGCTTCATTATTAAATGAAGGAATTCCAGATATAAATTCTCACATAATTATGGAAAAACTATATATATCACTAGCTTGAGTATAAGGTTAACCTCTTAAAACTTCAGGTGCCACAAATGGTAAAACACCATAAATACTATTTTTTTGAGATGATTGAAAATATTCTACTGGTTACATAATCCCAAATCACTAATAGATAAAATATTTTGATTAATACTTAAAATATTATTATGATGAAAATCACAATCAATAAGATTTTTTTGATGTATTATTTTAAGACCACTTATAATATTATATAATTTTAATAATTTTACTATTCAATTATCTTTAACAATATTTGATAAATTTTTTCTTAAAGAACTATTTTTTGCATAAGTCATTATAATCATATAATTTAATGTATTTGGATCTTGAGTAAAGCCATATATTTGAAGAATAATTTCATTTGTATACTGTTTTAATTGAATATAACAATTATAATGATGTTTCCACTAAAAAATAATAAAAACATTTTAAAAAATATATTATAAAATTAAATTTAATAATAATTTTATACTTCATTTAAAAATTCATTATTTAAATTTAATGAATTATTAAGACTTTTAAGTATTATAGTAACTTTACCACTTCTGATCCATTTTTGTTTATTATTATTATAAAAATAAGATTTTATAAATCCATCTATCCAAGTAGCTTTATAAATAATACTAAATCCTCCTTTATCAAGTTACTCAATATTTTCAAACTTTTTATAAGAAATCCATTCTAATATATGATTACTATTTTTTGTATTTAATTGTGCATTTTGAATAAATTTATCAATATACTCATTTCTACTAGTCCAATTAGAAAAATTTTCTTGAAACTGTTCAGCATTACAATATTTATACCATTCATATCCAGTATATTTATTTTTACAATTTAAGCAAATTCCTAAATTTCTAAATTATATTTAAATACATTACTTTTAAATATAAATTATAAATCATTAAAAAATTAATACTACTTAATTATTAAATAATTAATAAAAAAATTATAAAATATAATTTTTTTTTATAAATTATATATATTAAATTAAAAATTATATTCTTAAATAATAAAAATAGTATACCATCTAGTAATTAAATTTTTTTAATAGTAAATTAATTTTTAATTAAAATATATAAAGAATTATAACTTACAATCTAATTAATATATTAATTAATAAAAGTATAATTATTAAAAATTTATTCTTAATAAAATTTATTAAAACTTATATAATTAATTAATAAATAAATTACCATTTTGATCATCAATTATTTCTTTAAATATAAATATATTTAAGTAAAATTTAATTAAATATAAATTAATCAATAATAATACTTACCTTATAAATCATTAAAATTTAATAAATATTTTAAAATTTAAAAAATTATTATATTTTAAATATAAATTTAAATATTATTGAATTTAAAATAATTTACCATTTAAATTATTGAATATTTCATAAAATAAAAGTTAGTTTGATTTATTTTAATTTTATAAAAATTTAATTAATATTAATTACTTACAATCTGAATGTAAAATAAATTTTTAAGAAAATTAATTGAATTTAAATTATAGTAGAAAAGCATAATAAATTTTTTAAAAAAAAACTTACTTTCTATATTATTATTATTAAATATATAATTTTTTTAAAAAATTTAATAAATTTAAAAATACAATAAAAAATATAAAAAGCTTACTATCTTAATTATTAAATATATTTTAAATAAAAATTAGGTTAATAATAAAAATTATAAATAAAATAATTAATAAAAATAACTTACTATCTAAATTATTAAATAATTTTTAAAATAATAAATTTATATGAATATAAATTAATATAAAAGCATAATTTATTAATTTAAATGGCTTACTTTCTACAATACATTTAATATTCAATATTTTATAAAAATTAGTTAAGTAAATATAAAGTATAGTAAATTGAAATTTTAGTATTAAAAATAATTTACCAACTAAATATTTGTTAAGCATTTTAAATAAAAAATGAATTAGTCAAGTTAAATTACAATATATAGAATAAAAATGACTTACTCCCTATAGTAATATTTTTTAATAAAAAAATTTAGTTTGTGTTCTAATTAAAATATTAATATCAAAAATTAAATGACTTACAATCTATAGTATTATTCGCAACCATTTTTTTTTGTAAAAAAAAAAAAAATAATTATTAAGAATTATTTGACTCGGCTAATAAAATAAATGTTCATTACCATTTAATTCTTTTATTGTAGGGGAATCAGGAGCATCTGAAACTGGTAATTCTTTTAATGTGGGAGCATCTGGAGCATCTGAAACTGGTTTTATCATTAAATAATTTTACAATTCAATTATTAAAAATTATCACAATTTAGTATTCAAAGAATTTATATGTTCTTACGATGTAATCCTTCTAATGTTTTCAAACAAAAAATTTAGTATAATTAACGATTATATTAATTAATTAATTATATAAGTATTTACCTTCTGGTTCTATTTTGCAAATTTAATAAAATTATTAAGAAAAAAATTTGAGTATAATTACGAATAATAGTATTATATAAATAATAATATTACCTAATTCTTCTAATGAAGAAACTTTCTTGGCATCCGAAACCGGCTCTAATTTATTTTAGATTTTTTTTTAAAAAAGAAAAATTTTTCATAATTCTGTAGAATAAGTATCTTCTCAGACTATATAATATTTCTTATTTTCGTACAAGTAAATAATATATTTAATGCTTAAATTTCGTTTTACCTTTATAGAAGTTACCAGAAATTTGTTATAAATTTAAAGAGATTTTTCTTTTACAAACAATAGCAATTACACTCAATATGTCGATCATTATTCGTGACCGATTATTTTGTACAAGGCAGGCACAGCCATATGAGGAAATATTTTTTTATAACTTCATTAGTAGAGTAACACAAATGTTATAGCATAAGAGGTAAAAAATTTGAAACTTTGAAATACAAGCTACGCCGCCACGGCTCTGTTATATTTTTTATTAAGAATTATCTAATTATTTAAACTTTTGATGATAGAAATCGATCATGCTTCATAACAATATAATAATGAGCATTTAAGCAACTTGCAATTCAACCTAAAAATTTAGAAGATCGCCTAATAGTTCATCGAGTAGTGAAATAAATAACAGCTCTACTCATGTTGAAGTTTATTTATTTATTCTTTCAAGTAGTGAAATTATTGTATTTATTTTATCGGTAGAATATTGATAATTTTTTAAAAAATTCATGTAACAACAAGTATAAGGATTTTACAAAAAAAAAATATAGATATTTTCGAAGAATCCGAACCTGCTATGATATATTCAATAGTTTTGTTTCAATATGCAAAGTATTTAAACGTCACATACTTCATATTAATTTGCACACTCCTTCATTATATAAAACTGCAAATAATATTTCCAAATTTTGGTGATAAATCAGAAATGCAATAGCATCATGTGATGCAAACATAATTGAAAAATCAGTATGTTAATGAAAAGTACAAAAATCAATATAAAGATAAATCGCATAAACTATTTAAATAATCAATAAACGTAAAGTAAAAAAATAAGACAACTCCTTTTATCTGTTTTTTTGATAAGGAAAAAAAGTCAGATATTACTTTAAAAGTTTAATATACCCAAAATTTTAATTTCATATAAAGAATTAAATTATTTATATCAAGGTCTTTTTTCCACACATGTTTTGACAACATTGCACACATTTATCAAAATTCCCAAGACCTATTACTGCTTAAATTTTATCAAACCATGCAATACCAGAATCCCTTTTTCCATAAAAAGTACTTTATTGTATTATCTATTATCCATTTTAAAGGGAACAAGATTTCCCTTAACTCGACAGCTTCACAAGATATTCACGTCCAAAGTTTCTCTGTTAAATACATCAATTATTGTTTTCTGTTATACGATTTATTTTTTTATTAATTACGGGTTTTTATTTATTTATTTTTTAAATTTAAAAATTGATTTTTTTTTAATATCCGTGATTTAAACGTTAAAAAATTTGATGACAAAATTGTTCCTTTGATATTCGCGACAGTCAGTATTTTTTGTCCAATTTTAAGCATAGGTATTTTCAGTATAGGTTGCGAAACATCAACTGAATGAAAAAAAAATAGGCTCAAATTGTTCAAACATGACGCCGTTATAGATGATAAAAAACTTTATCAAAATGTCGAAAGATAAAACTCCATTTTAGTTTGTTCTAGTAACGTGCTAGTCTATTAATTATAACAGATAAGTTATTGTGCTTGCGCTGATAAATAATATTGAAATTCGTTCTGCGATACGATCTGAATCATCACCATAGGATTTCAAAGATAATTTTTGAAATAAATTACTATAAAATAAAAAGAAAAGCATTTGCTACATAAAAATAAAGAAATCATTTAAATATAATTTACTTTTAATCTGATGTATTTATCCTTCAGTAATTTTTTTATTTTTTTAAAAAAATTTAATTTTTAAAACATTACAGTGTAACATATCAACGATTAGCCACGTGACTAGTTCGAAAGGTCCTACCCGGTCCTCTTTTAACCTTTCCGACCAATAAATCCCTATTAAAAACACATTTTCCAGATCTTCTTCCAAGTTTCTTGAATCTTTCACGTTCCTTCTTCAACGCTTTCGTGTTATTACATATTTTTTAAGTTGTTCAACATATATATACTGGTTGATAAACGGAATCCATTTAATTTCGTCGCGAAGATTGCGCTAGTCTAACTAGTATAGTATAAATTAATTCATATATCCCAAAAAGAAATGACAGTTATTAAGTGGAAGAAAGCAATGAACACAAATTCGTCCTTCGCTTTGCTCCGGATAATGAAACCCCCCATTATTTTCAGAAACCTCCTTAAACATATATTTTTGCACTATTTTTATCTTTTGCAAATATTCTCAAGGTTTCCGCATCAGTATTACTAGAATTTTCCAATATTACAAATATCTATGTTAAATTTATTTATCCTATCTATGACTCTATATAAAATATTTATTCTTTAATTTGATTGGACGTACTGCGTGAAATAATTACGTATTTATGTGTCACATAAACAAGGTTATAATGCACTTTCTCTCTTTGCATGTTATTGCTTTCAACCTTTAAAAATATGTCTCATATTACATTTTACTGTCTGGTGGCGGGTGAAAACCCTCACGAAAATGTTTTTAATATTGATGTTGAGGATAATAAGTTAGTTAAAGATCTCAAAGAGGTTATTAAGGAAACGCAACCGAACATATTTATTGGCGTCAATAGCAGATATATTAAGTTATGGAAAGTCAACATTCCACCTGAAAGCGAAAAACTAAAATTCTTTAAAATCCCTGATGAAAGTATAATGGATAAACTTGGAAGTGAAAGAATGAATCAGACAACGATGATTAAAGAATATTTTCCTATCAAACCGGCCGACAGACGTATTAGTATCATTATCGAAACTCCTAATGCTATACATAGAAATCTTAATCAAGCATACAGGTTAGGTTGCTTGTCTAAAGGAGATCAAGTTGTGCTGAAATACAAGAATGAAACATATACCGCAACATTCAAAGAAATGCATGGTCGTCCGTATCTGTTCGCCGATGGATGCGAGTACTCTTCTTTTGCAAAGTTTATTCAAGCGATGATAGACAGAAAGTCAATAGAGGGTTCGGTTTATAACTATCTGAAAATCAATTCCATGTCTTGGAAAGAATTCAGTGAAGAACTATTATTCTTCAACTCCGTTATGCAAATAAAAAACGAGTTGCAACTTATCCTTAACGACCCAAATGTTCGTGACATCTTCTATGGTAGAGAAGAGTTTGAGAAATCTTCTACAGAAGTTTCCATCTATGAAGACCAAAATCTGTATGTTGTAGTTGACAGACTTCCAGAGGAACGGTTGAAATTTGTTGGAGAATTTCCAATAGTTTATATATCTTGGGGATTATTAAATGATTGTTATCCATTTAATCCTCCGAAAATTCCTTTCCCTCTGGAAACGTTAAAGAAATTTGACAACATTCTCGATACACATCTTGGACTAGATTTCCGATCGAAATACATAAATCTTACCGCGATTGCATTAGACTGGAAAGTCAGTGGCGGAGTTTA